GGGATTCCAATTCTTTGTATAAAGTTGCTTCCCTATGAAAAATAGTAGGGAACCAAAATGAGATAGAGATTTCCTCTTCCTACCCATCCCACCATGCGCTGGAGGTTCCTCTCCCCAGCACTGAAGAATATGAAGGGGAATGAAGACTTGCGTGTGTGCATGCATTGATTCTCATACACTCAGACAACATATATGTGCATACAGTTATTTTACTCAGTTTTTAAATATGCAGTCTGCTGTGTAATTAGTATTATGGTATTAGTGAATATATGGTTTCCTGTACTGTCAGTTTGTGTTGATTCATTTATGTGAGCAGTCTTATGATGGTACATATTCAATAAACTGAATTTGGACTGGTGTGTTCTTTCTAAATACTGTTCCAGTAAGTTGTCACCTGACCACTGAAATATTTTGCGTTTTCCATATTCCATTTGACTACTTGTTTATTTGAAAAAGATAGTCTGGAGATTTCTTTGCTATAAAGACTCAGAATATTAGATTTCCACTTGCGAGGTGGAGATCTGTATATACAAGAGGAGTCTGTGTTTATTATCTGTTGCTTTACTCATAACATTCCATTCTTTTCATTGTGCCTGCTTAAAATTGTGTTCAGAACTTTTACAAAACTGTTAAAATGTCAAAGTGATATTGTATGTAATCAGAGCTTTGGTTCTGTATTTTTAAATGTTTACCTCACCAGTTTTAGTTTAAAAGACTAAATGTATTTAATATCACTGCTGTACTCCATTTTAAAATGGCCTTCTTTTCTTTCTGTTGCAGCTGTACATCTTCCAATCTAGCCTTACAACATGGCTCATATGCTTGGACAACACACACTACGAAGCAGCCAACATACAAAGCTTTTAGTGTTAGTGGGCCAGGATGTTGAATACTACCACGGTTATGCATATCTGCAAAAGCTATGAGAGACAAATGCTTCCCCCCCTTCTTCAACAGCATTCCCTTTTTTAAAAAAATCACATTTCTTATTACTAACTTTGCACTCTTGTTAGTTGCAATTCATTCCTAATCTCAGTATGAAAACATAGTTTTACTAAGCATCAGTACTAAAACATTGCAAATTAGGATCTATATTTTTTTACAGGAAAGCATGTGATTTTTTAAAAGAATAGGTGGAATATGAAATTATTATCTCCCCCTCCATATATTCTTTACCACAGTGTTATTAAAAAATAAAATGAAACACCCAGCAACTTTATAGCAGATGAGAAATGTATGGCCCTCCAGATATTATTAGGTAGCCTTTATGTTAATCTGCATGAGCCTGAATGGAGTTGAAACCCAGCCATATCTGGAGGATCATGTGTTCCTCACCTCTGATTTTAAAAAAAGTAAGGTTTATGCTCAAGTGTGGTTATTTCATGGCGGAATAGATTATCTTTCTGTGTTCCAGTTCTTCATTGAAGGAGTTTGGAGACCTGGAACCTTTGGGGGTATAGAGGAGGAGAAGGAGGAGGAGACAACCTTTTAGTTGCCCAATGTTGAATGGAGCTGATTGGTTATAGTCTCTGCCAGTATCTGATCTTGTTTTGAAATCTCCAGCATCTCTGCAAGAAAATGTTTTTCATTTTTATTTGTTTCTTATGTTTACTGATGTTTTTATTTCATCAGAAACTATGGCTGAAATCTTGTTGGTTAGTGTAGTTAAGTCACATTATGATAAGCTCAATGAAGATTTGGTGACGCAAGTTCTTCATAACTTGCATTGGTTCAAATGGGCCTACTCTAATTGCAACTTAATTTAGCTTAGTAGTAAAAAAGCCATTGATTAAATGGGTCTACTCTAGTGTGATTTTCTATACTAAGCCACAGGACTTGAGCCAATTTGTTGAATTCCTAATTTTTTTAAAAAACGCTCACCAATTCTTAATATGTCTCAGTTCCTTACTTGGGCCAGCTCAACATGCTACAGATTGAATCCTAATTCTGTAATAGCATCATGGGTTTATCAGACATTTCTCTATATTGTCAGTTAAGAGCTTTGTAATTATTTTAAGGGACATGGTGGTGTTGCAGGTTAAACCGCAGAAGCCTCTGTGCTGCAAGGTCAGAAGACCAGCAGTCGTAAGATCAAATTCACACGATGGAGTGAGCTCCCATCGCTTGTCCCAGCTCCTGCCAACCTAGCAGTTTGAAAGCATGTAAATGTGAGTAGATAAGTAGGTACCACCAAGGTCGGAAGGTAACGGTGTTCCATGTCTAGTCGCACTGGCCACATGACCATGGAAACTGTCTTCGGACAAACGCTGGCTCTATGGCTTGGAAACGGGGACAAGCACCGCGCCGTAGAGTCGGACCCAACTGGACATTTGTCAAGGGGAACCTTTACCTTAATTATTTTAAGGATCTTGAAACATAATGCTATGGGACGCTTTATGATATAAAAGGTCGTGATTATTTCTCTGTGAAGTATGATAAAGAACTGTTGTTTGTGATTGTAAGATAAACCATTTTTCATGGGTGTCTTGGAATTATTTGGAAGCTTTATTCTAGTCCTAAGTTGCAGAAGTGGCAACAAAACCCAGTTGCAATAAACAGATTCACTACCACATCACATCCAGCATCATACAAGTGAATTTCCACTGGTGCAGCAGACCTGTCCTCTCTGCAGCTCCCAACATGCCTCCACATCTCAGCAGTTCTCCCCACACATTCCAGGGACATGGGGCTGCAATAGGAAGGGTCAGTCTTTTTCACTGGTGGACGGCATTATGTCACCTCCTACCCAGAATTGAAATTCACCCTAAATGTTTAGGAATTGGCTGAGAGAAGATATTATCACAGCCTCTCTTCTTTATATCTTAATTTTCGATAGCTCAGTCTGTAGTTTTAAAATAAAAGTCTAAGAACTTAGAAACATTCGCCTAAGGTATTTGTGTGAGAAAGTAAGCAGTCAGGGTGTGTTCCTGGTTACACTATAGAGCAATTGTTAACAGGCCATTAACACAAACATCTGGTAGTTAAAAGCTAAGTGATTACATAGGTCACTATTGGCAGGAAGCCCATGTAATTACACTAGTCTCTGACTGTATGTGCTTAAGTATACATTAAATACCCTGAGCCATTCAAATACAATTTAAACTTTAATCCATGCATAACCAGACCTTTCCTCAATACTAGTGTGAATGATTGGCAAGTACAAAGCCTTGAAGAAGGCCTGCTATGCCTTCAGTTTCTAAGATATATACGCCTTTATTATTTATTTTCTTGAGATTTGTGAAATCTCAGAAATACCACAACAGGTGGCTCACAAACAGCGGATACACAAAGGGAAGTGAGTTAATTAAAAAGCCCAGATTAAAAAAGAATATTGAGGCCTTTGTGCCTTAATGTTAAAAAAAATATTGTATTGTCTCCTGCTATGTTAGAATTGCAACACTGTTTCTTGGAACAGCAGAATAATGGCTGAACTTTTCACATGTAGTGGAAAGCTTTGTAAAGTAGGCATTGCCTTAATGATCCGTTGGGGAAAAAGATTCGCCTTTTTCATTTTTCTTAGTAAGAACAGATGTCAGAGCTGAAAAGCCTCCATGGTCATCCTGAATTTCTTCCCAGTAAGAAAGCCTGTCTTTCAACTTGATACTTTTTTGAAGTCAGTTTGTATTCATTGCAGAAAGTTTCGGTCTTGGTATTATCTGCATGATTTTTAGGTCCTTTTCAGTAACATTTGGCTGAGCTGAACTTTGAAGACAAAAATGAAGGAGGTTACTCTCAGGATTTACTCAACTGTTTCACCTGAATCTTTAGAATTAAGAAAGTCAAATTAAAAAGGATATTAACAGAATATTGTCTCCTCCACCTGATTCTCCTTTACAGAGAGATTAAAGAGTTCAGCTTGCCTTCTGGATGGTTAAACTCTATGAAAGGGAATTGAAGTTAATTTAGGGTTTTAGTTAAAGTGTGGGATCTTGTATATCTCATATTTCCACTGAAGCTAAGGAATATTCAGAGTGTAAAACAAAATAAATGCAAGTGGCCACAATTAATAACCAAAATTCTACTGGATTTTGTGGTAAATTGCTCTAAAGTAGGTCAATTGAATCAGGATTTTGGTGTATCCTCCATAAGTCCCATTGATTCAAATAGGTCTTCTGTAACTGTGACTTACTTTAGCATAGTAAGACACAATTAGAGTAGGTCCATTTTAATCAGTGGAACTTATGGAAGTGTTGACTCACTAAATCCCTATTGATTCAATGGGACTTCTCTAATGTGATCTAATACTATGAGCAACAGGACTTTGGCCATCATATTTATGGTTGAACTACTAATTATTTCATTAGAACTGCAAACATATATAGATTTAGTTGCTAGTTTGTGTGAAAAGTTTGGAATGGTTATCTCATTTTGGCCCCATTTTTCCTTTTTGACTTGTAAACTTCACAGATTCCCTGGAGGTTTCTTTATCCATATGATAAGGTTATGAGTTACTGTGGTGCCTGTAGCAATGGTTGCCAAATTGCCCACATAAAATCACATTTTAGATATTTGAATGATGCTGATATATCTGATGCCCAGCTGTCAAAATTAGATATTCGTTTTCAATTTCAATGATTTATAGCTGCCTCGATCATATGTATATTTTACTATACTGTATCATTTTCATACCAGAAGAAATGTAATTCTCCCTTAGAAAGTACAAGAACAAGGGTATAGATGAAAATACCAATTTTTCTGTTTTAAGGAGGGGTGGAGTATTTAAAAGAAACAGAAAGCAGGATAAATTGGTTGGTACTGAAACTGATGCCATGCTAGACCACTGTGACAAGAACGTACCGTGATGTGTACCTTGAATCTCACACCATGTTGTAAGGCTGGAGGAGTGGATGACATCTTCAACATGAAATGCATTAAGTTGAAAGGGTGTTATGCAAGAAAGAACCTAGAAGGCTATGATCATTCTACATTCCAGATATTGTTTACAAAAGTAATATAATGTATCAATGTATAAATGTTTTTTTTTTCCTTTCCACTTTCAGATTCATGGTAGGCTGTGGTAGGTGTGATGACTGGTTTCATGGTGATTGTGTCGGTTTAAGCCTTTTTCAAGCTCAACAAATGGGAGAGGAAGACAAAGAATATGTATGTGTGAAATGTTGTGCAGAAGAAGACAAAAAACCAGACGTGGTTGATCAGAATATTTTGGATGCACAAGTGAAACTGGAAACAACTAGAGAGGGTAAAATAATGGAATTTGAGAAGCCAGGAGCATCAAAGCAAACCTCCGCGTTCCCTCAAAATAAAATAAAGCAGGGAGAAGATTCTTCGAAACACAAAGTCAAAATTTTTAAACGGGTAAGCATTATTATTGTTGTTGTAGTTGTTGTTGTTAATCCAGAGGTACCAACTTTTAGCACAGAACCCTTCATTATTCTGACAAAAATGACCAGAGCATAGTTGTGGGGATAATACGTACCTAGTTGTAGATGCATTTCTAAAACAGAATGACAAGAGGAAGTGGCTAGCCTTTCCTGTAGCTATGGATTTATCCTTCAACAACTATCTTTTTCTTGAAGTTGGATCTGTTTCTGATTTAGCAGTCTTATTATGGTGAGTAAGGGAGCATTAACCTCAAGAGAAAAGTATTTGTAGAGTGCAACTGAGATAATGAAAGGGTTAAATATACTGGTTGTTGTGGGTTTTTCGGGCTCTTTGGCCGTGTTCTGAAGGTTGTTCTTCCTAACATTTCGCCAGCCTCTGTGGCTGGCATCTTCAGAGGACAGCACTCTGTGCTCTGAAGATGCCGGCCACACAGACTGGCGAAACGTTAGGAAGAACAAACTTCAGAACACGGCCAAAGAGCCCCAAAAATCCACAACAACCATTAGATCCCGGCCGTGAAAGCCTTCGCGAATACGGTTAAATATACCTTTATCCTACCCTGACCTTTTTCTTTTTGCACTAATTTTATTTATTGAACTCCACTCCCGTTTTTTTTGTTACCCCCATATGGCTAATACATTGAAACAAATGGGTATGATAATAGATAATAGTATACAATTCTGGCTAAAGAAATTGAGATTTTGAAACACTTATTTTTAATTATTTTGACCTATTCAACAAATGCGTCATTAAGATCAGTGGTGCATGCCTTTATGAAATAGATAACTCTAATAATATTTTAGGATATGTTTAATGTAGGCTCTCCATTTTTGAAATCTTCCAGAAAAATGCTACAAGGCAAGAATGGTAATAACACTAACTTTTGAAGGAGATCAAATCAAGTTGTTAATATTTATGTTTTTGAGTTAACGTCAAAATCCTGTTGGGGGAGGTTTGCCTGCACAATGAGAGTGATGTTATCACCAGCAGTCTGCTAATGACATCATTCCCATTGTGCACATGGAACTCTGTAACAGAATAGTTTCTTTGTTTCTTATTAGCCCTGTTCAATTGTTGCAGTTCAGGTACAGTTACATTCAGGAAATGAAGAACAGAGCACTCAAACCTTACCCACTTCAGAGATTCCTCTGTATGCAAGGCAACAAGTTTGAAGAGACCGAGCTCTGTTCTCATGTATTGTCTCCACATGAGTTGGGTCCTGATTCACACGGAGAATATACTTGAATAGCAAAATGCTCTATTTTCAGACTCCTTGCCGTCTGCCTGTAGGAGAGTGATCAAACAAAGCACAGAGGGTGTGGGGCTCAAAAGCCATTCCTTGTGTGACAAGTTTGCATATAGTATAACATCTGAATAAGGCACTGGTTAGTTGTCCTGGGAGTATCAATTTGTATTTTAAGCTGTTGGATATAAATATATAATCTGTTGGTTTATGGAGAACTTTAAATGTAACTTTAGTTTGTGTATGCTTCTCTAGATATTTTTGTTTTAACAGTGATCACAGTTTCTTCTGTTGTTTATTAACATTTGTTTCAGGAATCTGGTGATGGAAGAGCCTTACCAGAATGCAAAGAATCTGAAACGAGAAAAGGCCAGCCAGTTCCTATTAGGAAAACAGGGCAGACAATCCCAGTTCCTCGGAGATCTTCTGAAGACAAACATGAAAAAACAAATAAAGACAGTCTTAATGTTTCTTATTCCAGTGAAAGCACAACAAAGCCAGGTAGTTAAAACTGAAACAAGCTGTTTTGTTTCTGGAAGCTCATAAACATATACCGTATTTGCCAGCGTATAAGACGACCCCCCAACATTTCCACTCAAAATATAGAGTTTGTATATTTCTGAAGGGAAATGGTGGGAGTTTAGAAAGATAAGGGAGAGGAGGAGGGCAAGTGGCCGGGCAGGTAGCAGCGGAGGAGGAGGAGGAGGGCGAGGGCGAGGAGGAGGGCAAGCAGCTCTCGGCGGCAGGCAGGCGAGCAGGCAGCTGGCTCAGTGGTGCAGGGCAGCAGGCTCTGGCCGCTCAGGCATGGCTGGCTCTGCTTCCCTCCCTCCGTCCGGACCGGCCTGCCTGCCTCCCCGCTTGCCTTCCTCCCCGGCTGGTGCGACCCTGCATCACTCACTCACAGCGGCGGCTCCTTCTGAAGTGCACCCGGCTTATAAGATGACCCCCCCACTTGGAGGCATGTTTTTCAGGGCAAAAAAGTCATTTTATACGCCGGCAAATACGGTAATGTGAATCCTAAGAACCTAGTATCCATTTGAAATAATGTTTAAATAATTTTAAGTAATACTAATAGCAGCTCCATCCATCAAAGAATGGGAAATTTGAATTCTTAAAATTATTCTAAGTGCTGGAAATAAATAATCGTTAAAGTACCTGCACAAGGAAACTGGCTCTTTGGTTATGTAGATCTGTTTAAAATGTGAAAGCACAAGCTGTGAGGGATCTGTGGCCCTAGGGAACGCTGTGCAGTTGTGGGAAGGAGGCTCTAGACCCACCAACTGCTTATTTGATGTCTCAGTGTTAATGACTATGATCCTAAAAGCCAGTGCTTAAAACGCTACAAGTTCACAGATGATTTGAACTAAATTCCATTAAATCAGGGATGGGCAACCTCAGTGGGGACAATGGTAGTCTTTCACATTTGCCAGTAGTCCCAGCGTCTCACTCCCAAAGAGGAGGAGCTAAAGGGGGGAAGGAGGTGACCAAAAGGGTAATTTGCATTTTTTGAGAGAGAGAGAGAGAGAGAGAGAGAGAGAGAGAGAGAGAGAGATGTTTGACACAGTGGGGTTTTGTTAGCAGAAAAATTAGTTTAACTTTAAAAAATGTTTTTTAAAAAAACTTCAAAAAGCGCTCTGCAGCTATCTCATGGTCATAATTAGTTTTAGAAAAATCCCCAGGGTCTCACTCCTAAAGAGGAGGAGCTAAAGGGGAAGGAGGTGACCAAAAAGGTAATTTGCATTTTTTTAGAGAGAGAGAGAGAGAGTTGTGTTTGGCACAGTGGGGTTTTGTTAGCAGAAAAATTGGTTTAACTTTAAAAAATGTTTTTTTAAAAAACTTCAAAAAGCCCTCTGCAGCTGTCTCATGGTCATAATTAGTTTTAGAAAAATACTAAATTTGTGATGGGAGGGCCTGGAAAGCATGGTAAGTTGCTGTCAAACCTATAGAGGGCACCAGGGAACTTTCTGAGCCAATGTTTTTCTCTTAGAAAAGACTTGGGTTTTTTTTTCCTAACAAAGCAATACATTTTGCTGTTTTTGTTAAAAGCTTTTAGATCTGTTAATCCAACATTACTTCTTCATTGTAAGCATGCATTCTGTTCAACTGAACTTCTTAACAGTGTCTTTCCTTTTGCTTGTGAAATTTCATATTTATTACCAAAGCTTTCTAGCAGTGGTTCTTTGATGATCTTTTCACGTAGGTATTCAGGATAAACAGGAAGTCAAGAAGAAGAGAACAGAAAAAGGGGGAACGGCTAGTAATGTACATCCACCTCCAGCCTCCGCATCCAAACCTTCTGCTGATCAGATAAGACAAAGTGTTAGACAGTCATTCAAAGAAATCCTGGAGAAAAGGTAGGATTGGTGCACTAAAGAAATTATTGCCATTTCAATTCTTGCTGTTTCTTGAAAATAAAAAACCAATGTATATCTTTTTCAGACTTTTAGACTCCACATTGAAGATTCCTGAAGAAAGAGCAGCCAGAGTAGCAACTAAGATTGAAAAAGAACTGTTTTCCTTCTTTCGGGATACTGATTCAAAGTATAAGAATAAATACAGGAGCTTGATATTCAATCTGAAAGATCCCAAGAACAAAGTATGTAACATCACCAGCCATGTGTCCTGAAATCTTTCAGAGAGGGTTTTGGGGAGCATATGTTAAAATGTTCATGGACTTTTTCTCCTCTATTTCCTCCATCCTTTAATAAGCTAGCAATTCTCTGTGTTGGTCCTAATTTTGGTAATGAATCCAAACTGGAATGAAATGTATAATGTTTCTGATCAATGCTGCCTCTAATGAAAACTGTTTGGTTCTGTCATGGCTGCATGAAGCTCCTGAATGGTGAAAGATAGAAATAATCACAGCAGGAAGCACTTACATGGTTACTTCCTGTTTTGATTTTGGAGGGCTTGAGGAATCCCCCCCACCCTTCCAAAAGCAAGAACTGTCACTTGTGGACAATCTGCAACAGTAGATTTCTCCATTTTTCCCCCATTGAGGGGCTCTGGGGAAAGTAGCAATGGCACAAGTGCAGGCTCCATTTCGTCTGCCTCTATGTAACTCCATACAGAGAAGACAGTTTACAAAGTTTAATGGTTGGGTAGGACTGGAATAGTTGACAGTCTTTATTTTTATGGTTGAATTGCATTAAAAAACTGGTCGATTTTTAATTTGTTGACGGCAACTAATTACAGGTTGTTTTTTTCAGATATTATTTAAAAGAGTCTTGAAAGGTGAAGTTACTCCAGATCATCTCATAAGAATGAGCCCAGAAGAACTGGCTTCCAAAGAACTAGCTGCATGGAGGAAAAGAGAAAATAGACATGTATGGCTTTATTTCTCTATATTTAATAGCCCTTTTCTTTTGTTACGATAGGTTGCTTAAATTTGGCAAGTTAAAAAAAAGCTTCCTCCTGCCCCATTATTTTTGGGCTCTCCAAAATTCTTGGGGGAACTGGGATTGTTTCATAAAATTTGAACCTGAAATGTTCGGTTTCTTCTCCATAAGATGATGAGTGTGCATTACTGGAACTCAGCTTCAGAAACACTGGGGCAGTAAATATCTATTATACTTCTTGTTCTTATGATAGTTTGTTCTATCTTGTGGTAAGGGTTTGATTAGTGTAAAACTTTAGCTGTTCCCAAGTTAATATTCTGCTTGTGCAAGAGAGTGATTTGTCTAAGAAAGTTGATAGATGATTAAGAATTTTATGTGCTGATTTCCAAAAGAAAACATCCTGGTTCTCCCTCCAGGGTGTGGTGCCTGTAGATAATGATGCTTTACACCTACCTTCTGCTCCTTACATTATTCTGCACTGTCTGAAGTCTTAAGGCCTTCTTTCTTCCAAGATAAGCCACAATTTACATGTTGAACAAAAGATACTGTATTAGTTGCTTGAGTTACAGTATTTTGATCCTACTCCACTGTCCGTGCTAAGCTATGGTTAAGCATTACACCAGCAAACCTTGATTTTGAGTAACCTCTAGGCTTCCTAGCAAAAATAAGTGTGGTGTATAACCTGTGTGCTCTGTTCACACAGTTATTACAAAGCCCTCCCAATCCCCTATCATAGGATCTTTTGTTAGCAAAAGCCAGATTAGTGTGTATTGGAGCCCTGCGGGCAGATTGATTCCTCAATCCAACAACATTATCAGCAATATTACAGCCTTTTTATTTTCTTAAGATAATTGGTGGATTCGGGTGGAGTGGTAAACTATGGTTTAGCTTTATGCCAACAAATGTTGGGTTCATCTATCTTCTCTTGTGTACAAGTATGAGAAGAGTGTAAGGTTTTGCTTCCATTTTGAACTATGCTGTCTGCCTCTGGTCTGAAAATCTGATTAGTTTATACTGTAGGTTAATTATAGAAGTGCAAAGCTTTGGTGTGCCAGATGTTCGCCTTCAGCTCCCATCAGTCCTGGCCAGAGTTACCGGTCATTATTTACAGTGAGATCTGTCATTCAGCAGCATGGGGCGAGTCATAGTATTCTCAGCTCAAGTTTATTGGAAAAACCTGCCTATCTGTATATGCCATATAGAATATTAAGCCCCACTTAGGGTTTATATATAATGCTATGTTTAATTGAAAATGGAGCCAAGAACTTCCAGTTTTCTTCTTTCACTGTGCTAGAGGTGGAGAGGGAATAGATAATCTCAAGTTTGTTCTCATGTCACTGAACTGTAGTTTGGCATTCTATCGTGATCTGACCAGTGCTTCTCTAGCTGCAAAACAGTCATAGTGTCTTTACCTCTGTCACGTATTGTTCATTCTGCATCATCTACTTTTTCGTCATACTAAATGCTTGATGTAGAAAAAGGAACCTTGTTCCCTTCTCTGGTAACTCCCTGCATAGCTATAAATTTCTTTCTTGTCTCTTGACAGACAATTGAAATGATTGAAAAAGAGCAAAGAGAAGTCGAAAGAAGGCCAATCACAAAAATTACACATAAGGGAGAAATAGAAATCGAGAGTGAGGCTCCAGTCAAAGAGCAAGAAGTAGCTATGGAAATTCAGGTTAGTCTTTCCTTTGTTTTTAATGTGATGTTATTAATGTGAGATAACATGATATATATGTATGAAACAAAATCATTGTATTACTGATTTAAAAACAGAAAAGCCCTTCCTGTTTGATTAGAGGTTTTAAGCAGGATAAGAAAAACCAAAATACTATTGGGAAAATACAGTACCTGTGCACAAAGGCATTCATCCAGAGTCATTTCTCTGATGCGGTGTCTTCTACATGACTGGACACACAACAGACTATGCTCACCCCTTTTTATAATCCGTGTGTGACCAGACATGGGAAGGGCAGCCACTGGAGGCCAGTGCATATAGGTGCACTGGATATTTCCATGTGAGCCAGTTCAGTGATCTTCAGGGCAGTTGAGAAGGTACACTTTTCTTACACTGGCAATGAGTACCAGTTAATTTCAGTAAAGACATCTAATGTGCTTAGGTTAAAATTATTTTCTGAAATGAGACCTAGTCTGCTAATTGGATAATCTCTGTACATTCACGATTCCCCCCTCCTTGAAATATGTTCCTCATAATATCCGTCATGTCAAAAGGACAATCCTGACCCCCAGGCTGGTCTGCTAATTGGATAAATCTCTGTACATTCACGATTCACCCCCTCCTTGAAATGTGTTCCTCATAATATCCATCATGTCAAAAGGACAATCCTGACCCCCAGATCTGTTGGTCAGAGCTGGGATGGGAAAAGCCAACCCCTCTGCTGAGCAAGAAGACATATCAATTCTGTTACCTGCTGGTATTCCAATAGAACAGTGGTGCCCAACCTTGGGTAACCCAGTTGTTCTCGGACTGCAACTCCCAGAAACCCCCCGGCAGTGCAGCTAGTGGTGATGGCTTCTGGGATGGGTGAAGCAGAACTGATAATGGTTTCAAAAAGATAAGATAAGCCCACCTCTTCTGCTCCCTGCCCTGGCTTGTGAGAGCCACCATGGTGTTGGAAACGATAAGCAACCCTTCTTATCCTACCCCCATCTCAGTTGGTATTGTTCTACTTGTGTGAATTGCTTGGCATTGTGTTAGCAATATCTGTTATCTTTTTGTGTGTGCACACAAAACACAAAACTGTAGTTGTATAACAAATTGCCCATCTTCTGATGTGCAGGAACCTCCTCCACTTAAGACCGTGGAGAAAATGGAGGAGGCTGAAAAGGATAAAGAAGTTGATGCATCTGCCACACCCGATACAACAAGCCAACATAAGCACCATCTCTTTGATCTTAATTGTAAAATTTGCACAGGTAATACTAAGGTCTATGCCTAAAAATCAGTGTTTGCTGTTAATTTGCCTTATCCTTTATACATAACATGGCAATATGGTATGTGGAACATATCTTGATTAAGATAACATCTATTTCAGTGATTGAAGAGGGACAGGATGAACTGTAAAACAATATCTCCTCTCCCACCTTTGTATCCTCACAGTCCTGTGAGATAAGTTGCTTTGAGAGAGAATGACTAGTACCAGTATTTCCAGTGATTTTTATGGCTCAGAGTCTGAACCTGGGGCTTCCCGTTCTTCCAGACAGACACGTGAACAAGTATAGCACTTTGCTCCACATGCTTTTTACAGTCTCCAAAGCACAGCTTGAAGTTGGCAACAGGATTTCCATTCTCTCTCATGTCTTGAGAGACAGTTTAAGTCATGGACATGCTAACCCTGTTCTCGCATTCTAATCTGAGAAACATAAACATGTGAAGGTGAGAGTGTTCTTGTCCCATCCTGTCCATTGTTGCTTGGCTTGCATGATAACTCTGAAATAAAGTGTAAGCATGGATATTTCCATGTGAGCCAGACTCCTGATTTTCCAAGGTTCTTATGGAGACCCTTCATGCTTAACTGGTGTTTTTGGCTTCTGACTTACTACTTGGTGTCTATTTACTTATCTTTCCATGGTTTGGACCCACGTTACTTGTCAGAATGTCTCTCCCCAATGTCAACTGCACACCCCACCCGGTCATTGCAGATGAGGCTCCTCTGGGTAGCTACCCCGAGGGAGGTTGATAAATCTTCTATAAGAGGTAGGGCTTTCTTCATAGTGGCCCCATCTTTGTGGAACCAGATCCCAGAGGAGCTTCGCCTGACCCCGTCCATGTTGACATTCAAGAGGCTATTGAAAACATGACTCTTCAAGGAGGCTTTTCATTCTGACCCTAGTTGAGTTGAGGTGATCTTACATCTCTGTCCATTGACTGTTACTTTTATTTTCATTTTCACAATTTATTTTTGCTTAGTTTCATCATTGCTCTGGAGTCTTCTGTCTTCATGTGGTTAGATCATTATATGGCTTTTATTATATTAATTTATTATGTGTATTTTAATGTGAACCACTCAGACTAGTGCTGCAGCACTAATGGGAGCGGTATATAACAGTATTTTTCGCTCCATAAGATGTAGCTCTCTATAAGACGCACCTACTTTTTAGGGGAGCAAAAAAGGAAAAAAATATTCTGGGGATTTCGGCCTGCTGGGCCCACGGGGTGGTGGTGGTGGAAGACGGCTGGGAAGGGTCTGGGAAGAGAAGGTGGTGGTTTCGGCCTGCTAGGCCCGCGGGGGTGGGGGTGGAAAACGTCTGGGAAGGATCAAAACCACCACCTTCCCTTCCGTCTTCCACCCCCTCCTGGGTCTAAGGTAAAGGTAAAGGTTCCCCTTGACAATTTTTGTCCAGTTGTGTTCGACTCTAGGGGGCGGTGCTCATCCCCGTTTGCAAGCTGTAGAGTCAGCGTTTGTCCGAAAACAATCTTCCGGGGAGCAAAAAAGGAAAAAAAATATTCTGACGATTTCGGCCTGCTGGGCCCGCGGGGTGGTGGTGGTGGAAGATGGCTGGGAAGGGTCTGGGAAGAGAAGGTGATGGTTTCGGCCTGCTAGACCCGCGGGGGTGGGGGTGGAAAACATCTGGGAAGGATGAAAACCACCACCTTCCCTTCCGTCTTCCACCCCCTCCTGGGTCTAAGGTAAAGGTAAAGGTTCCCCTTGACAATTTTTGTCCAGTTGTGTTCGACTCTAGGGGACGGTGCTCATCCCCATTTGCAAGCCGTAGAGTCAGCGTTTGTCCGAAAACAATCTCCCGTGGTCATGTGGCCAGTGCAACTTAGGCACGGAACGCTGTTACCTTCCCACCTAGATGGTCCCTATTTATTTACTCACATTTGCATGCTTTCGAACCGCTAGGTTGGCGGGAGCTGGGACAAGCGACAGGCACTCACTCTGTCACGTGGATTCAATCTTACAGCTGAGGATCTACAGACCTTACAGCACAGAGGCTTCTGCGGTTTAACCTGCAGTGCCACCACGGGGCCTAGCTGGCTGAAATCATCACCTTCCCTTCCCTTCCCAGCTGTCCTCCACCCACCCCCCGGGGCATAGGAGGCCGAAATCACCACCTTCCCTTCCCTTCCCAGCCATCTTCCACCCCACCCCGTGCATGCCTAGCAGGCCGAATTCGCCGCCACCACCCACGTAGACCTCCGGGAGCTTACCTGGCCTTCCTCTGCAGCTTTTTCCTAGCTGTTGGGCAAAAGAGTTACCAAAAAGCAGTTAGAATTTAAATTGCACCTTTTCAAAAACCGTATTCACTCCATAAGACACATGCACTCCCCCCCCACACTTTTTTTGGAGGAAAAAAGTTCATCTTAAAGAGCAAAATATACGGTAAATTAAAGTAATAAATCAGTAAATAATACTAATCTCAGATATGAATGCTTAAATAGGGCCAGTGAATGTGTCTAGAGTAATGGTTCCCAACCTTGGGTCCCTTGGACTAAAACTCCCAGAAGCCTCCACCACTAGCTGTGCTGGCCAGAATTTCTAGGAGTTGAAGTCTAAGAACGTCTGGAGACCCAGGTTGGGAAGCACTGCTCTAGAGCACAAAACAGTAAGAGATGAGATCTGGCCTCTTCTCCAGTTTCAAGTTTTTGAAAGGGAGGGATCGTTAGCAGCCATAAATACTGTAATGGCTTACTATCAAGGCCCTCCAAAACTGGATATTCTTGCCAGCCATTGGTTCTCTTTTCTCTGTTTTTTATTAGTTTGTCTTAGATTAGTATTACCACAACCATGGGGGTTCTGCACTCTGCTCGTTTGCTTCCAGTTTAAAACAAGTTCATCTTCCAAAGTAGGATAGACTGGTTTTCATCCTAGCTATTGTTACTCGGAACAAGGCAGCTTCTGTAAATGATGGTTCAAAATTGATTTATTTCACCAAATCACAGTTTGTCCTGAGTTGGATTATGTCCCAAGCTGGATCATAACGCAAGCTGTGTTTGGCTTTAGTTTTAGGGGTGAGCAAAGCCGTGGCTTGTTGTGGCTTGCTCCCAGAATGGTAAGTTATAGCTTAATGTTGCCTCCAAATCAGGGCATTTTGTTCCTGTGGAAAGTTCCTCTTTATTTTGCTTAATAAAGTCTTTCACCGGACCAATTTGCAGCATTTTTTAAAGCTAAAGTGGAGGTCATCCGCCGGGACCTCTCTCCTTTTTTGAACACAGTGAGTCGAGCTGAGATGTCCAGTGCTCCGTCTTGCCCGGTGGCTTTTGATTCCTTTCAGCCTGTCACGTCTGACACTGTGGCCAGAGCGCTTGATCACTGTCGTGCCACCACCTCCTCCCTTGACCCTTGCCCGGCCTGGATAATCAAAGCAGCCAGGCCTACAACAACGGAATGGGCCACTGCAATAATTAATGGATCTTTCCTGGAGGGCAGATTTCCATCTGCCCTCAAGGAGACACTCATTAGGCCCATTAGGAAGAAACCAAGTTTGGCGGCGGGCGAAATTGGCAATTATAGGCCCGTCGCCAATGTTTCTTTCCTAACCAAGGTAGTTGAGAGGGTGGTGGGCGATCAGCTTCAGGCGCACCTGGAGGAAACAGATGCCCTGGATCCATTTCAGTCGGGCTTCAGGCCGCGCCATGGTACAGAAACGGCATTGGTCGCCCTGTGCGATGACCTATTGAGGGAGGCCAACAGGGGAAAAGTGTCCCTGCTGGTCCTCCTCGACATCTCAGCGGCCTTTGATACCATCGACCA